ATTGGCAGCAGCTTTGCAGAGCAGCTCTGTCGGGGGGAGATTATTTGATTTGGAGAGGTGAGTTTCAGGAAAGATGCAGCCAGACAGCCCAAAGGAATGCACAGGCCGGACAGCCCCAGAGAAATGTGGAGATGCTTACTGGAAGTGGTCAATACGCCACCATTCAGCAGCAAATGCAATATGACATCGCAGTCTATGCCCAAGTGGCAGCAGCGGCCCAAGGGGCTTGGAAAGCATTGCCTTCCAAGGAAGGAGGAGATCATCTGTCCAAAGTCCTTCAAGGACCTTCCGAACCTTTTCAAGACTTCGTGAGACCGTCTCAGTCAGGTAGCAGAAAGAATATTTGGGGGCATTGGGCCTGCGATGCCAGTCATAAAGCAGATGGCATTTGAAAATGCAAATAAATATTGTAAGGAAGCCCTTCGCCCCTATCGCAATAAAAGTCTAAATGACTATATCCGGATCTGTAGGGACATTGATGGGAACTTCATCCAGGGCCAAGTGTTAGCTGCTGCTATTCGGCCCCAAGTGGGGAAAGAAAGACCTACTCTGGGAGGGAGAAAAACATGTTTTAGCTGCGGTAGGGAGGGACACTTCCGTAGAGAGTGCCCTCAAAATAGTACTACGGGTCTCAAGAGACCTGGTTTATGCCCCGTTGTCGAAGGGGATATCATTGGGCCAATAACTGCTACTCTAAAACTGACAGGGAGGGAAATTTCCTTTCTGTTAATAATAATCAGGGAAACGGGAGGAGGGCCCCGCCCCAGGGCCCCAAAACCAATGTGTACGGGGCAATGACCCCTGCTCTGGGCAGTGGCAGGACTCATTTTCTCCCCAGAGCAACCCCTTCATATCTCAGACCTCCTTAGAGCCACCTCGGGAGTGCAGGACTGGACCTCGCTCCCTCTGCCCGGGCAATCCTAACACCGGAAATGGGGATCCAGGCCCTCCCTACTGGGGTGCATGGGCCATTGCCCCCAGGCACGGTTGGACTACTCTTGGGACGGTCCAGTACTATTCTTCGAGGCATCCAGGTACACCCCGGTGTTATAGACCAGGATAGTGAGGGGAGATTAAAATAATGACATCAGTGGGCAGTGGGGTTGTTGCCATCCCTGCAGGAGAACAGATTGCTCAGATACTCCTTCTCCCTACAGCTCCTTGTGAGGCTAGAAAAATTAAAGAGAAAAGGGGCAACCAAGGTTTTGGAAGTACTGGCCCGGCAGCATTTTGGGTAGCCACTATGGAGAACCGCCCCCAGCTTGCATTAAAGATAGAAGGCAAGTCCTTTAGGGGCGTCTTAGATTCTGGGGCAGATTTCTCTGTCCTCTCAGATAAATTCTGGCCCCCCGCCTGGCCGAAAGAGGAAGGGACAGTGACCCTCCAGGGAATAGGACAGGCTGTGCCCCAAAAAAGCCTCAGAATCTTAAAGTGGCAAGACTCTGAAGGCCACACAGGGCTTTTCCAGCCATATGTTTTGCCTGGCCTCCCTATTAACCTCTGGGGACGGGACCTCATACAAGAAATGGGAGTGGTCCTCACCACCCAGGCACCCAAGTCCAAAAGCAGGGGCCCCCAGATGACACAAGGGAGGGGCTGGAGCCCGGGGAGGGAACTAGGTAAACTAGAACAGGGAGAGGTTTGCCCTGTGGCATCCCTCCCTTTGGAGACCAGGGCCCCAGGGGATAGGAAGGGTTTTGGTCATTTTTGAGGGAAACTGAAAGATCTAAAAGGCTGGCCAGTAAGGCTATGCGGATGTGTTAAAAAGGGGTACCAAGCTAGGGGTACCGGATTAAATCTCCAGGCCTTCGCCTGACACCAAGGTCAGGAAAGAAAGGGGAACCTGAAAGATCACCCTCAGTTGGAGGATAAATTAAAAGTGAGTAAATTAAAAATTGGTAACAGTTAATAAAGAAGGTACTGGTATTAAGTAAAAAAAAAAGAAAAAGACAAAGGTATATAAAATAAAAAATTTTGTTTACATTTAAGTTCTATTTTGTGAGTCATCTCTAAAAACTTTTGGCTAAAAGCCTGGCCTCTCCACCTTACATCTACAAAATTACAAGGAGTATGTACAGCTGTACCCCATGACTATAACTCAAATGGAGAAATAATAAAGAACATAAAAGGACTTTTAACCTTTTTAGTTCAAGGATTGGCTGGAGTTGTTCTTTTACATAGATTTCAATTAAGGAAGCTTCATTGCAACAGACTAATCATGACCTAGGGAAAAAGGATGACTGAAAGATGCATGTATGTTCTGAATGTATGGTGTGGCCACACCGGTATGTATGAAATGTGATTGCGAATGTGTGAGTGTGAACTGCTTATATGATTAAAAGGATACTTAAATCCCTTCAAAAATAGTTAAGAAGCTACCTAGATTGCGTTAAATATAGCCAAAAGGAACATCCAGCCAGTCTGTTAATGTTTTAACAGAAAAATTTAAGATACAAATGAGGCCTTGTCAGCTAGTGAGAGTTCTACAGGTTAGATTGGGAAAGACTGCTCACAGACTTCAAATAATTTTCGAAAGTTATTTAGTAAGCCCAATTTACCTAGATAGTTAACCAAGGAGGGTAGACAAATCCTTCTACTGTTATGGTCCAGCTTCAACAGTTCAAAAAGAAAACTTTTTTAGAAAATAAAAAAGGGGAATAATGCCCCCAGTCCCCACATGACTCATCAAATAATACACTCCTCATTTAAAAATTTTATAATGTGAATGCCAGTGAGCTTCAGACAGATTCTGGCATGATGGAACTTGAGCAACCATTGCTCAGGTCAAATGGAGACATCCATGCACTAGACAGTGGAGAAGACCCTAATTTGGGGTCGAGGGCATGTTTGTGTTTTCTTGTAGGAAAAGAATAAAGCTTCGGCAGCTGTCAGACCAATTAGTGAGATGCATGGAGCAGAGAAAAACTGGACCTGAGACCATGGGAGCCTACCTAAGCCAGTTTGAGTGAGATCTCCTAAATCAGTGTTCCTGACCCTTGATGTCATCGAATCTACAGCCCAAGAAAGAGAGAAAACAGTCGGTTCGAGATTTCCAATTTCTCAACAGACCTGCTGCATCAACCTTCTGGACCCATGAGTTTTCATCGTAAAGCCAACAGAGAAAAAAGGACCCATTTAAAGCATTTGGACATTGGTATGGACTATGATGAGTGGCAAAAGCCTCTTTTCAGTATTTGAACAGGACATGGTCACTTGAAATACCAGACTTGATGGTTCCTGTTTCTGGAATCACGACTAGGCCAGTGTATTTTTCTGGAGAAATGCAACTTGTCCTAATGTGACAACTATTGTTCATATTTTTCGTAATGCTACATGTGTAACATCAATGATTGTACCTAATGTATCTGTGCAAGTGCACTTTCTAAATGCTTTCCTGAGCAGATCTTGAAACGATTGGAAACTTTATCAAATTGTAAATGTAAATCACATGCGGGTTACCCTTGTAACAGATGAAGGCTCGTAGAATGTTATGGCCCAGATCTGGTGATGGGTATGGTGATGGAGAGGCGCTATGTCAATGGGGGTCCTGGAAATGGTGGCAGTGGCGGTAGGCATTCTGGCTTTATGCCAAGCTCAAACGTGCCTTGTTCCAGAGACAAGAGATCCGTAACCAAGTATTGCTTAGCTTAGCCCATGGCAATCCCGATAGCCATGAAGGTTGGTTACAGATGATTTAAGGTTGGGGTATCTCCGATGACGGGCAACCTGTGGGGAAGACCCCTCCCACCTAAAACAGGGGTTCAAGGTCCCCCAAAGACGGGAAAGGGAGGGTGACCCTACTTGACCTAAGCCAGGAGTGCCTCATTTGAAAATAAAAAGGGGTGAATTGTGGGAACACCAGACCTTGAGCAGAGACCCACTTCCCCTTCTGCCTGGGAGTAGGCAGCTGTAAGACAATGTTTAGTAAAAACATGTTTACTAAAAACGATACAATAAGTTCCTGGCCACTTCCCCTTCTGCCTGGGAGTAGGCAGCTGTAAGACAATGTTTAGTAAAAACATGTTTACTAAAAATGATACAATAAGTTCCTGGGAAAGGCCTTCCCACGGAAACCGCCCTGACCTCGACCTTGTCCAGAGACTAACCGCACCTTCAAAAACCCACACACATCCACCTCTGGGGTCAGAGCAGAACCAGCCAGGGGAGAGGAGAGAGCAGAAGCTTCTCTGGTGGGAGCTTTTCTTAGGAGGTTTTTCTTGAACCTTTTTGGAGCCTGTTTAAAGTTCTCTTTATATCATTGAACGAGTCTCTGTGTTTTCAATACCCGACACCCTCCGCACGTTCTCGGACACAGGCCGCGCTGCAGACGTGACATGACCATACCTAGCTCAGGATCCCCAGGCCTGGCAAAAGCAAGAGGGGAGGGGACAGAGAGATGGCTCAGCAGTTATGCGCACTGGCTGCTTTTCCAGAGGACCTGGCTTGTATCTCCATTATCCACAATCATCTGTGGCTCCAGTTTTAGGAGACCTATTGCTCTCTCGGCCTCTACAGACACCAGCCGTGCATAGTAAGTACACAATCGTACAGGCAAAACACTCATACACATAAAATAAAATAATAAAAATAATTAAGAGAGGGTGGTGGCACACATCTTTGAGTTCAAGCCCAATCTGGCCTATGGAGTGAGTTCCAGGAGTCCTCATCCAGAGCTACAGGGAAAAACCTTGTCTCAAAAAACAAAACAGATGAAACACAAAATAAAACAAAAATAAGCAAGGGAAACAATTCTACCTCTAGCCTCAAAAAAATTTAAATCACAGTCTTAGTGGCCTTTTCTTTGGGGGGGGCATTTATTTGTTTTTTGTTTGCTCTGGAGACAGACAAGGTCCCCACTGTGTAGAGTGGACTGGACCTAAATTCACAGAGACCCATCTGCCTTTACCTCTTGAGTGCAGGGAGTAAAGGTGTGCTACCACCACCAAGGCTGAGGCAGGTCCTATGTCTGCCACCTCATCTCGTTTTTTTTTTTTTTGCAGGGACTTGAAGCCAGAGCTGCATCTTGGACCCCTGATCAGTTGTTTCAACAGGAAACTTTTTCGGAACAAGGATGTGAGGGGAGGAAGGTGATGGAAGGGAGGACCTAGTCCTCTCTCTGCTTCATCCTGCCTCCTCCGAGTGCACAGCCTCCCCTTGGAGAACACAGCGGCTCACCATCCCGCCAGTGTGTGCCATTTGTCCTCATTACCAGAATCCTGGCACACAGGAGGCACCCGATAAAACGGTTTTGCACAGAGTCAAACTAAATCTGACTATGCTTGCTGGCTGAACTCTTGAGATGTTGCCCCACATTGAAGAAAGGTAAAAATATCCCCGGATCGGATCATGGCTGTATCTCCTGGAGAGAACTCAGACCTGGAGCTGTTTTCCTCACACAACGGATCCCCTGGAGGGCGTCCTAAACCAGATTCCCGAGGTGTCCCCAGCGTTTGAGTCAGTGAGCCTCCGGTGGGCCTAAGAATTTGCGTTTCTCTCGGGGTTCCAGGCTGATAATCTCCATGGCTGATCTGAGAATGCTCGCCTCAGTGAATCCCAGCCCCTGGCCTCAATATTCATCACGAAGACCTGGTTGGCCCCAGTTTTATATAGGAGGAGGGAAGCTAGGAGCGTCTTAGAGCGTCTCACTTTTACATAAACCCTCAGCCACGCAAGGTAAAGGCAATGTCAATCTAGGACTGATTATCTGTTCTCCTTTTTATTTAGTTCGTTGACTCCATCCTTATTGAAAGCCACTTCCCCCGAAACATGTTTTGCTACAGCGAGGGAGCACTAGGAATTTCCTGTGGCTAGGCAGCCCAGTGCCTGCAGGGGTGGAGGCAGCGCTGAGCAATCCAGTCCTTCCCTTGGCTCGGGCAGGGCCACGTGCCCCACCCCCTCGCTTGCACATGTCTCCGCCGCCGCCACCACCGCAGCAGCCGGGCTGTTTATGAGCGAGTTGTTGTGGTAGAAATGGAGCAGGCTGCACATGCCCGGGCCATGTGACCCGGGCGGCCCGCGTGAGCTTCAAGACGGCACAAACACACTCGGTCTGTCCTCCGGTGGCCGGGGAAGCAGGAGGGAAAGTAAGGGGAAGGAGTGAAAGGCCACTAGGCCACCTTGTCTCCTGCCCTGCATTATGCTCCTGTCCTTTTTGTCTCTCTCCCGAGCCATCAGCAAGGCAGCATGTTCACCTCCCGGGCGGCATTCACAGCCCCCAGAGCCCAGATCCACCACCATCAGCAAATAACAGAGTCTCCAGATCAAGAGCACAGCATCTCTCATCCCACCCTGCTTATGATGTGGGGTCCTGGCCTCCAAACTGAGACCTGCTTTAGCTGCAGCCTGGGCTCCCGAAATCAGCTTCTGGGCTCCCTCTTTCTAGGAAGTAGTAGTATGTCCCACATTCATGCAGCTAGTGTCCACTCCAAGATTAGAACAAAGAATTGGTAATCTGTGGGTCTGGGGTAAGAAGCTAAGAACATGTCTGCAGCGGGGGAGTCTATGGGGAAGGTGGACTGGAAGGGTAAATCCCTTTGGTAGTCTGTGGTTAGGTCTGAAGACCGACTCCTGTCCAGAACGAGCAACGGGGGGCAAAAGACAAGTTTAGCTTAGCTTTCATCCTCACTGAAGCGTGTCCCCTCCTCCCCCGCTCACAGGTGCTGTAACCCCAGAGCTCCTACTTCCAGCCCACGGCTCCTGCCCCAGCCCACTGGTGACCCTGTTTCTGCACCGCAGTGCCTCTTGCTGCGAGGCGAGGCTCTGCTGGAGTCAGGCGGACAGTAGGTTAGCAGGAACAAGCAAATGAAATGAGCACGACCCACATTTCCTCGCACACTAAAAACTTTGCAGATCCTGCATTGCAGAGCTGGCGCTTTTTATTTTATTTTATTTTTTAATCTCTCCTCTGGGCCCCTACACACGTCTGCATTTTTGCAACCAGCAGTTTTTTCTTCTTTTCCAAGGGTGCAACTACGCATTCTAATGAGCCAAAGCTCCTTCCTGCAGCATTGAAAATCTCATCAAATTGCCAGCTCCCCCCCTCCCGATTTAGAAGAGGGGGAAGGATCCTAAATTTGTGAAGTAGCATCTTCTCCCTCCTTCCCCTGCCTCCCTCCCCCATCACGCTGCAGACCTTCCAACCAACAGCTGCAACCAGTGGAGAAGGGCGGGAGGAGGGACTGAACGAGAGCCTTATTCCTTTCCACACAGCCTGAGCTGGAGGGGCGGGGGGTTGCTTTTTTTTTTTTCTTTTCTTTTTCTGGGCAGCCCACTGCACTCTCCTTTCCCTCCTCATCCCAGCCAGTGTTTACATAAGCCTCCCAGAAGCTACACAGGGCCCCCAATGCCAGCCCAGGCCCCAGTTCCTCCGTAGCCCATCCTTCTCACGAGGACCGTCATGAGTCTCTGGCCTCCCTAGACAGCTGCACTGAGATCTGCAAAGGCTGGAATAATAGGAGATGCTGGCTCAGGAGAGAGTTTGACATGCAGCTGAGAATGGAGATAAGGCAGGCTCAGAGGCACCCCACACTTCTCTGCATCTCAATCCACAGAGGCTCAACTCAAGGACAGTCAGTGGCCCGGCCGGTACAGGAGACTGGAAGGTGGTGTCACCAGTGGGCTGCAGCAGTGGTCTAGCAAAGAATGAACAGGAGACAACTGCATGACGTGTGTCCCCCTAGCTAGGAAGGTGGGCTCGTTACCAAATAAAGGATCACCTGGGGCTTGTCTTGTATTGCCAAGGACAGTACATGCCACCTCCATGATCCCTATTGACACAGATCCTGAGCTCATAGAAGGGGATTCTCCTTTGAGTTCTCAAAGCACTGAGGTGTCATTGATCTTGGATGGTGGCTTTAAAGGTACACAATTCTCAGGCAGATAAATAGGAATGCCAGATTGTCTTCTTTTTTTTTTTTTTTTTTTTTTTTTGAGGCAGGGTTTCTCATTGTTTTGGAGGTTGTCCTGGAACTAGCTCTGCAGACCAGGCTGGCTTCGAACTCACAGAAATCCGCCTGCCTCTGCCTCCCGAGTGCTGGGATTAAAGGTGTGCGCCATCAACGCCCAGCTCAGATTGTCCTTTCTTAGGTCATGTCACAATTTCTTTCTGTCCTTGATAGCCTTCCAGACTTTCAGCAAACCCAACTCATTGATTAATTATTTTGGTTAATTGAGACAGGGTCTCACGAACTCACTATGCAGACCAGGATGACCTGGAATTCACAGAGCTCTGCCTACCTCTACCTCCCAAACAAAGATCAAAGGTGTGAGCTACCACGCCTGGGTCAACCCAGTTTCAATAACCTCTTGAAGGAAGCACCAAGGGGCTCTGAGGTGCCCTGGCCTATCAGACCTTCCCCTATCCATCACCAGGTGTGGCCCCTATAATTAGGAGACTTGAGTGGAGACCAGAGCTCATATGTCTGCTTGAGTCCCTCACAGGTGATGTGGAAGTTTGTTTTGTTTGTTTTTATTGGCTGGTTGGGTTGGGCGGGTTTGGTTTTTGCATCCTATTCTGATCTGTTCCTACCTTGTACAACCAGACAATGGGACTGTAGGATGGAGAAAGAGTTTCAGGGAAGAGGAAATGCTGGTGTTAAAGGAGAGGTTCTGGGAAGCTGAGGTTCTTGTGTGGGAGGGAACAGAAGTTTCTCTTCTTGATGCTACACCTCCCTTCCCAGCAGCACCCTGGCTTGGGGAACAGGGGTCAGTATGCCCATGTGGCTGGGATGCATCCTTAGCAGTACCATTCTCTCTGGGAGGGCAAGTCTTGCTAGTTGAATTTCTTCTTCAGGCCTGGCACTGAAACCCCAGCACTGCCATGCTTATTGATAGTGACATATAGAGACTGTTCCAAGCTAGGGAGCTTTATGCTTCCAATAAACTCTACGAACTCTGTTATTCTTTGATGGTGTTTTGTAAATACAGCTTCAAGACAGCTCTCCTAGTCCCTTCTGGCATCCTGGCCATATTAATAAACATCTTAACTCTATCTTTTTTTTTTTTTTTGCTTGTTTTCTTGAGACAGGGTTTCTCTGTGGCTTTGGAGGCTGTCCTGGAACTAGCCCTGGTAGACCAGGCTGGTCTCGAACTCACAGAGATCCGCCTGCCTCTGCCTCCCGAGTGCTGGGATTAAAGGCGTGCGCCACCACTGCCCATTAATAAACGTCTTTAAGCTTCAGTTTCCTGATCTCCAAAATATAAAATGTGATCTACAGCCAGGCAGAGGTAGCCCACCACTTTAATTTAATCTCAGCACTTGGGAAGCAGAGGCAAGTGGATCTCTGAGTTTGAGGCCAGCCTGGTCTACAAAGCAAGTTCCATGACAGCCAGAGCTGTTACACAGAGAAACCCCATCTCCAAGGTGGGGGAGGCACAAAAAAAAAATAACCCCAAATGTGATCTACAGCACTGAAAACCAAAAGGAAATAATGTTTATTTATGTATTTGGGTTCTCCCCCCCCCAAGACAGGACAGGGTTTCTCTGTGTAGTTTTGGAGCCGGTCCTGGCAGTTGTTCAGTAGACCAGGCTGGCGGTGGCCTCAAACTCACATAGATCAGCCAGCTTCTGCCTCCTGAGTGCTGGAATCAAAGGTGTTGGACATCACTGCCCAGTAGAAAGAATCTTTATATGGTACTTCGCACAATGCCTGGCATACAGTTGGTACTTAATACAAAAAAAAATTTTGTGTGATTTCTGGGAAAGAATTGTAGTGGGGAAAAGGTGGCAAAATCTATTCATTGAAACCCGTCAGCCCTGGCTCCTGCCTCATCTTTCCTTTTCTACGGTCTTCATAGCAAATTAACTCAGACTTTGTCCCTCTTGTCTTGAGGTCCTCCCCAAATGGTGGGAGTTTTGGATGGGGTAGGGAAAACTAGCTGGCCTTTTAGAAACCAGGAAAATGATCCAGGAAGGTAGGGAATGAACCTCTTTTAGGTAAAGGTCTGGTTCTCTGATTCAGGGACATCTCTAGGTTTCTAATCCAGATTTGCATCACCTGGGCCAACAGGTTTTTACCCTGGATAATGGGTTCCAGATGAGAAAGGAGGGGGATGGGAAGGCACCTAACTGAAGCCTGACCTATTTTCATAGGGACCCACCCTCAGTCAGTCAGTCAGTCAGTCAGTCAAACAGTCTGCCCAAGATTTAGGCCACTCAAGATTTGCACAGGGTGTTGCCCTATTACCCAGAACAACCTACTGTCAAGGAGAATAGATCTTGGATCAAGCACTCACCCACTGCACATGCACACATGTAAAGGTGCTGTTTACATTGGTAATCATAACTCCAGTTCCCTATGAGCATGGCAAGGAGCTCTGACCAGAACTTAGAGTCTTAAGCTAAGGTTTAGGCCAAAGAGAGGCCATCCGTCTACTCTAGTCTCCCTTAGGTGAGATAACACATTCTTTTGGTGGCCCTGGTTCCTCGGTTCCTCTGCCCTTCTTCTAGAAGTCCCTGGTAGAGAAAAGAGCACAGTTTACATGTTAGAATTTTCTAGGACCAAGAAAAAGCCCTGACCTTTCTTGTTATTCCCTTGAATCCAACAAAAGAGACGGAGTGGGAAGTGGGCTCATATCCTCATCTCCACTGCAAGGATATCCAAAGTCATTTCTTTGACTTGGGTGTATGAGTAACAGCTGCAGCCCCAGAACTTGGGAGGCAGAAGCAGGACGGTTCAAATGCAAGGCCATCCCACAGAACTAGACCCTGTCTCAGAAAAAAAAAAAAAAAAAGGCGGCTCTTTGTCAGGGAGAAAAGGCAGAGGCCTGTGTGAAGTGCAGAGGAAACAGGGGTCAGAGACAGCACCCCTCCCTCCCTTCCTCCCAGCCTCTGCCTTCATACCTCATGCAGACTGCAAAACAGTTTTGCTTCTTGCCAAGAGCCAGATTAGGCTGAATGAATTTCAACTCTGGTTCCCTCTGCCTTGTCACTAGCTGCAAACACAGGAGAGTCTTGATCTCTGGACCTTCCTTCAAATGGAAACATGCTCAGCTCGAGGATGTGGGCAGGACCACCACAGCTGTGGACAGCCTTGGGGGCCCCAGAGCAGCTAAGGGGAGCATGCCACGTCAGAGGCAATGCTGGGGTGGGGTGGAGGGTCTAGATAGCACCATGGGGTTTGGGAATTTGAGCAGCCCTGACAGACACCTGGGTGGGGTCCCCTGGCTCTGACCCAGTCAGGAAGGTCACAAAGAGCAGGGAGCCGGGGACAGAGCAGCTTTGCCTCCCAGCTCTCCTTCTAAGCAGTCTAGTGGGAGGGGGGAGGGAGTAGAGGTTGAGTTCGAAACCAAGTTTTCCTGGAAAGCCTCTTTCCTCCTTTGTCCTAGCTCCTCCCAGTTCCTCCCATAGTGCTCTGCAGCAGCTTCCTTGCTTGGGGCCCAAGGGGCAGGGCGGACCAGAGAAAAGCCAGCTGGTTCTTGTCTGTCCCACTCTGGTGAGCTGTGAGGGAACAGAGACGAAGCTTAGCCTTCAGATGGTCAGTAGTCAAGCCTGCTGTGCAGTCGATATCATTGGCCTTAACTCTCAGCTTACTTTCCCCTTGGTGCCCTCACTCCAGTTTTGAGGCAAGAGCCTCTCATTGTTTAAGTTTCTAAACAAGTAGCCCAGGGCAAACCACCAGACTGCCTATATGCTTTTCTCTGCTTCCTAACCAGCTGCCCTACTTCCCAGAATCCCATTAACTTCTATCTCTGGAGCTGCCTAAAAGCAAGTGAAGAAAGAAAGCCTTCAGGTAAAAAAAGAAAGCTGCCAGGCAGTCCCAGCACTCAGGGGGCAGAGGCAGGTGGATCTTTGTTTGAGGCCAGCCTGGTCTATAGAGTGAGTTCCAGGACAGCCAGAGCTGTTAAACTGAGAAACCTTGTCTCAAATAAATAAATAAATAAATAAATAAATAAATAAATAAATAAATAAATAAATGAAGGGAGGAAGGAAAGAAAGAAAGAAGGAAGGAAACAGTGGCTAGACCATGGAGGTACATGCCTTTAATCTCAGAACTAGGGAGGCAGAGGCAGGCGCATCTCTGTGAGTTCGAGGCCAGCCTGGTCTACAGAGCAAGTTCCAGGACAGCCTCCAAAACAATACGAAGAAACCCTATCTCAAAAAACAAAAAACAAACGCAAAACCAAACAAACAAAAGGAAGCAGTAGATAGCAGTAGATGCTTAGCCTGGGGTCAGACCCTTCTTTCCTTCTTCAGTAAGAGGAGGGAAGATTCCTGCCCCCCATCCCCCCAATAGGCTCTGGCCAGCCTCAAATTCCCAGTCCTTCTGCCTCAGCCTCTCAAGTAGGGTGATTACAGGCGGGAGCTGCACACATTGCCAATGGGAGGAGGATTTAAGGGATCTTCATATCCTCAACTCCTGCCCCCATGAAGCACAGCAGGGAGCAGACCCCTTCACATTAGGTCCTCAAAGCACTTTCACCATGAAGTTTCCCTCTGTTGTCCTTTTTATTTCCCAGATAAAGGGAAATGACTCACCCCAAAGTCAGTTGAGTGGGCAGAGTGGTGTCGTATAAGCAAACAGGGAGTCCCTAGGGATATCCCCACTCTATCTGTGTCATTCCTTTCCCGCGGGTGTTCTTCGGGGCGGGCGGGAGGGGGGGCAAGTGAAAGGCGCTCACACTGTCTATCCAGCCTTGTCACCATAGCAAAAACCAGTTTAAATTCTTGACTCCAGGGAAATCTCCTTCCTCAGCTTGTTGTCCCGTGTCCCGTGCGCCCCATCCCCCTTACCAATAACCTCAGGGCGAGGTCAGTTCTGCAATCACGTGAAGGTCTCACGTTTGCTAGGTCTGCAAAAAGAGCCTTTTAGCTTTGATCTCCCATGGAGCTGTAAAGCTTGCCAGGCCCTCCCCAGGAATTCACATGCCCTTGCCATACAAGGCTTTCCAAACACGCCACCCTGACTCTTTAGAAAACTCCACCCTAGTCCACTTTCAGCTCCTCCCTGCTGCCAGCAAGCACTTTGGCAAAGCAGAAAAGGGGAATAGACGCACTCCGCCTACTTTGTCAGTAGACTACAAATCCCAACAATCTCGGCGGTGCGCAGACGCATAGAGCTCAACGTGCCGGCTGCTGGAAAAGTGTGTCACTGGGGCACGAGGCGCTCCCTGGAATCACATGGTACCTGCTTCAGTGCCGCGTGCGGCCCGGGAACCCTGGGCTGCTGGCGCCTGCGCAGAGTCCTCTGTCCCAGGGAAAGGCTCGGGCAAAAGGCGGTTGAGATTGGCAGAGTGAAATATTACTGCTGAGGCAACGTAGCAGGGCACACGTCTCTCTGTGCGTCTGGGTGCCTCGTTTCTCTATCACCTACTTACTTCCTGGTTGCAGCTTCTCTCCCTTTGGGACTTTTGCATCCGGAGCTCCAGATTTGCTACCCTGCAGTGTTGCGGAGCCTTCAGGAGTGGCATCCGGTGCACTGCAGAGACCCTACCCTGTTTGCTACCTTATAGCCAGATCTGCTGCAGGCTGATTCCTCACACACATTCTCTCTGCTCTTCCCATGCAAATCAGACCTCGGTTGCCTCAGCGTCCTACCCTTCTGCAGGGCTGCAGTCCGGCCACCCCAGAACCTTATTGCTTGGTGCCTGGAATCCTGATTTTCAGCCGCGGGGTCCACTTGTCTCCTTCAGCCATTGCCCAGGGGGCGAGAGAGATCACTGCAACCTCCAGTTTGTGTCAAGGTCCAGTTTGAATGACCGCTCTCAGCCTGTGAAGACATGACGACTCTGGACTCCAACAACAACACAGGTACTGAGATTCTTTATCATTATCCTTGCTCTGTCACTGTCTCCATTTCCATCCACGGCTTATGAGAGGAACTTTGTAAAGGATTGGGGATTCCCTCTGGCCGGTGTTTGCTACTGTGCTGAGAGCCATTAGGTAGGATTTCCAGAGCGGGTTACTCTGGCTGGTATTGTGCCTGAAGCATATCACCACTACCGCTCTGAATTCCCCTGTCCGCAGGAACTTGCATCTTGGGCAAATGAAATGGAGGGTGGATACTAGTGCTAAGTGGAAGAGTTTGGGGAGACTGAGCACTTTGAAGCGGTGTCTGGAAACGTCCCCATCTGTACACCGCCTGTCGCTTTTCTCTTTCAAGTTCTAGCATACTTCCAGGGAGTCTGGGAAGCTGTGGGACTGGAGGATCTGAAGGAATGGGTCAGACAGATCTTGTAGGGGAATCCTCAGTGGCAGTAGGGAACTCCACTTGAGGAGTCGGGTGCTTGGGGCTCATCTCCAGGCAGGGCACCCACAGCGCCTGAGCCTGGGGAGGGCTCACATGGCTGCAGAGCCGGGCCCACGTGCTGCATTTGTTTTCATTCAGTAGAAGCCGTGGCCACCATCCTATTGGTCCTTGCTTCCCGGCCTCGTTACATAATGAGCTCCGCCCCTCAAGTTGCCTGAGCAACGCGTGTTCCCGTCTCTCCTCCCTTCAGTTGTCCCGGCCCAGCTTGGTTTTAGGGTCCAGCCTTCCACCCAGGACGCCGCTGCCAGAGGGGCGGGGCGAGGGCGGGTTTCTGCTTGTGACAGAAGGGAAGAGGAGAAGGCGGTGCTTCGAGTTCCGGGGTTCCTCGTTGGGGAGCCACGTGCGAGGGGCACACGTGGAGCAGGGACGTGAGGCCAGCTGAGGGCCAGGCTCCGGCCCCGCCCTTCTCCACCTAGATCTGGGTGAAGCTGGGCTGACTCACCGCCCCCGCCTGCTTTCTTTTCCTCTCCAACTGCCTGGCCCTCTTACCCTCCGTGACCGAGACTTGACTAAGACGGGGCCACCCGTGTGACTTGTCTGGCCTCAGCTTTATGCGTCCCAACGAGACCTCGCACCAGCTCATACTTACTCCCTTTATTTTAATCGCACCAACATAATTTTACTGCTTTTAGACCCAGCTTTTTCCCACGTTCGTTCCCGAAGTCTTAACCGTTCCCCAGGTACCTCATTACCTGCCATGAATGTCTTCTCCGACAAAACATGAGTATCGGAGGATCAAAGCAGAAACCGTACTTCTTTTCATAATACTGTTTTGTTTGTTTTCTCACAGAAAGGGAAACAGACCAAAAGAGGAAGTGTTGTTTTCCTGTAGGTTGGAAAGCAAATTGGTAGTGATACAGATCTAGATGTAGAACTAGGGTCTTTTGAGCAGTGCCCCTCACTTCAAAGTTCGAAGACTTTTTGAGTGACTTTCTCATGCCCTCTTTCAGGATGGATAAACTAGGTCAAGTTCATTTAGGTCCGCGTAACTATCCCATCCCCCACCCCAACCGTGAAACTGCAGCCGCTTAGCCATTCTGCAACTGTTTTCCGGGCAGCTGGGTTCACCCTGACCAACCTTGAGCTATTTTAAGGTTGCCCTGCCTAGTTTAGTGTGTGTCAGTGGGTGAGTAAGACATGTGCTTCTGTAGACACGGTGGCATGGCATGTGTCAGCAAACACACGTGTCTGGGGATCCTCCCTTTTCCCACTCCACCCATGGCAGGCCAAGCAAAGCGCTTGGCAGAGGTGTGGCAGGCAAGTCACCCTTCTCTTCTGCAAACACCACAGGAGCAGAACTGCCTGGTTGGCGATGTAACCATAGGGACAAAGTCCCTGAGTGGCTATAGAGCCAAAGTCATCATCTGGCTGAGACCTGAAACGGGGAATGCCTAAATCCCCAGGCTGGGCAATTTATTCCTCTCTTCCATCCTCTGCAGCTCATTTCCCTGAGTCTTTCATTGTGACTCATCCCTTGCAGGCCAGGGGAGCCAGCTGAACAGAGTCCTTCCCTGTAGTACTTACAATAGGAGAAAACGTTGTTGGGTTTGAGGGGAAGGTGACTGTCTTACGGTTGTATGACCTCTTAATTCTTAGCTAGCCACCCTTCATGGGCCATCACTGAATAGGTCTTCTTAGTGTATAATTGGCAGCCGCGTTATTTGTGAATGGCTGTCAGCTGCCCATCCCATCCCCAGGTCTGCCCCTTATAACTTACTAGCTGCAGTTGATATTCCCTCAGAAAAATATCTGGGGCAGGGGTTCCTTCCCATGGATGAGATGCCCAGTGGGGTTATGCCTCACACCCAAAGCAGAAGTTGAATGTATTGTGCAAATAAATGGCTATGGGTGTTTCTTGTGATTAGGTTGACTATCACATGTAGTATGTGATGGAGAATTTCTTAGAGTGAGTAGGTTGACCATGCCACGTCTAGTGTGTGTGGGAGAATTGCTTATTACTTCAAGCTTGGGGTTCTACATGCATAACTCCTAAGAGGAACAGTATTTTGATGGTTGATCTCCTTCTCTTGCATTGTTGTATTAGGTGGTGTTATCACCTACATTGGCTCCAGTGGCTCCTCTCCCAGCCGGACCAGCCCCGAGTCCCTCTATAGTGACAGCTCCAATGGCAGCTTCCAGTCCCTGACTCAAGGTTGTCACACATACTTCCCACCATCCCCCACCGGCTCCCTCACCCAGGACCCTGCCCGCTCTTTTGGAAGTGTACCACCCAGCCTCAGTGATGATAGCTCCCCTTCTTCAGCGTCGTCGTCATCCTCCTCCTCCTCCTTCTATAACGGGAGCCCCCCAGGAAGTCTACAAGTGGCCATGGAGGACAGTAGCCGAGTGTCTCCCAGCAAAGGCACCAGCAACATTACCAGTGAGTAAATGCCCAGCTTATTCAGGGGAAAGGAAGCGAGCCGGGATTCAGGTGATAGTTGGTTTCCGTCTGACAGTTACCTTCAGGGTCTGCGCCCTGGCCTTTGGGATTTCTCTTACAGTTGTACTGGTTTCCATCCAGTCCAGTCCAGTCATCTGAGTGTTCCTAGACACAGGAGCCCCTCCTTAGCCCTTCCCTCCTAGAATCTTCAGCCTGGAAAGCCTCCACATGTCAGGCCACTCAGGTCTCTCTGCTTACCCTCTGCCTGTCTCCTCCCACAGAGCTGAACGGCATGGTGCTACTGTGTAAAGTGTGCGGGGATGTGGCCTCAGGCTTCCACTATGGCGTGCATGCCTGTGAGGGCTGCAAGGTGAGGCGGGCTGGGGTTGAGGACCCAGGCAGGTGATGCCTTCCCTCCATGATTCAGGGGCTCAGCTCAGATGAAGAGGTTCACTAGTCACCCTGCCTTCCAGGGCTTTTTCCGTCGGAGCATCCAACAGAATATCCAGTACAAACGGTGTCTGAAAAATGAGAACTGCTCCATCGTTCGTATCAATCGCAACCGGTGCCAGCAATGTCGCTTCAAGAAGTGTCTCTCCGTCGGCATGTCTAGAGATGGTAAGGCAGTAGTTTCCCCGTGTTTCCTCCTCGCCCCATTTCCTTCCATCCAGCTTCTACCTTAACCCTTCCCTTAGGGGGAAAAAGCCTTACATTTTGACATGTGGTACTGTGAATGTCGTTTGCATGGAGGATGCCCATGTGTTAACCCCTTGGACAAACACACTTGTGTGTGGGGCCCCGTCTGTCTACTATCATATCCTTTGAATGGGTGTGGCCTTGGTGGTTTTAGTTCTGACATGGAACCCCAGCTTTCAGGGTCTTAGCCTTTCAGGAGGAAGGAAGGAAGAGAGGCAGGCACGTGAGTATGTGAGAACTTCCTGACACGGCTCTCATCCTGTTGCAGCTGTGCGTTTCGGGCGCATCCCCAAGAGAGAGAAGCAACGGATGCTCGCTGAGATGCAGAGCGCCATGAACTTGGCCAACAACCAACTGAGCAGCCTGTGTCCTCTAGAGACCCCACCTTCCCCACATCCCACCTCAGGCTCCATAGGCGCCTCGACATCTCCTGCGCCAGCCCCCACTCCTTTGGTGGGCTTCTCTCAGTTCCCACAACAGCTGACACCACCTAGATCCCCAAGCCCCGAGCCCACCGTGGAGGATGTCATATCCCAGGTGGCTCGGGCCCATCGAGAAATCTTCACCTACGCCCATGACAAGTTAGGCACCTCACCTGGCAACTTCAATGCCAATCATGCATCAGGTAGCCCTTCAGCTACTACTCCGCACCGCTGGGAGAGTCAGGGATGCCCGCCTACCCCCAATGACAACAACATTTTGGCGGCCC